TCAAAGCGCATCTCTCTCGGGACGCGTGGGAAGAGAGACTCCTCCCCGCGACGTTGCACAATGCATGCATTCCGCGTAGCGAATCCTTTGAGGATTCTCTCGAGGATCTGCATAATTCACGGATGAATATACGTATTCAAAAAGATCAATTGATCGCCCCCGTTATTTAAGGGAAGAGGGTGTTCCGTTGGTTATTCACTGAAATAATTGAAGGTGCATGCGAGATCTTTCCTCGGGAATGCACGTCTTGAGAGGTTTCAAACAACAAAAGTCCAGAATCTAAATATAACACTCGTTTACTATAACAACTCGTTTGCTATACAATTTAAAATACAAAATTTTCCAAAAATGAGTTTTAATATTTTGTATCGTTAAAATTTTGTAATATTAATTTGAAATGCAATTTTGGTACAATAACTGATTGTAGAGAAGTAAATGTTTTGTTTAAAATATGTTCTTTTTTCCGTCTTTACTTTTTTTCACTGTAAAAAATATTGGTGTGGATTTAACACTCATATAGAATCAATATAATTCTCATTATATTGCTTAATATTAACATCAATACGGTGTGTAATTTTTTAAACCCCTGATGTTTATATCAATACCATCATGGTCGAAAATAAAAAAAGAACACTTTGAAAAATAGCGATGTGAATTTAACATTTAACACCATGCATAGTATTAAATGTTAAATTTACAATTATATAAATACCGCATGCTGTACGTATATTATGTGTCTATATAATTCTTATTGTGTTGCTTGCTGTTAATATTAACACCAACATGATGCAGAATTGTGGATTTAAAACCTATGGTGTTAAATTCACAATTTATATAATTGTAAATTTAACATTTAATACCATGCATGGTGTTAAATGTTAAATTCACATCGCTATTTTTGAGTTCTTTTTTTATTTTCGTTTTTCTGCAAGCAACTAAAAAATGATAATTGTATTGTTGTAGCAAATGAGCGATAAGACATCTTAGAGATGTCTTATATCCCGATTTTAGACTTTATGTTGTCCAGGACGTTCTTCCTCTCTCCCTGTTGCCATCACGTTGCAGCCACGTACGTTTGCATAAACGTGAGAAACAGCATTGGTATATAACGTTGCACAACGTCAGAGGGTCGCTGAGGGTCTATTAACGTTATAGCGTACCCATTAACGTTAACACGCGGACATTTACAATATAATATTGCAAATTGCAACTTATAGCGGATAAATATAATTTCTGCACGTTTGCCTAATCATCGCGTAATTTATAGACTTTCTCCCTCTTGATTAAAATAATTTTAAGACACTAGTGGCACACAGTAGTGATTAACAACGATTGAAAGAGAAAATTTCTTGAGCTTATTAATTTATTCAAATATCTACTAACATCGGATATTTAAAAAACGATAGGCTAGATTATTCCTCAAGAATTTATCGCAATAATACTTCAAGAGCAGACATTTCTTGTCTAAAATATAGCCAGGCGATCGCAAGAATGCGCTTTCTACACTCGTGGCCCCGCGAATGTTTTATTTATTATCATTATTTATAACAGGACGGATCGCGCGACTCCTACGTTCCCACGACACGACGTCCATCGACTGCGAGCCGTGTAATTTCGAACTTTACCGCGGTAAGAAACGATATATCACTCGTCACAGATGATTTCTCTAATCGTCGTGGACATCACGATGATGACAGCCGTGACAGGTCCCCACGTGGGCGTTGATATCAGCATAAAACTTTGTGGCAAAGTATCGACGCGCCGCGCCGTGCCGGACCGTAACAGATTTATGCGTGTCACGTGTTGCCGAAGAGAAACGGCAAGGATTTAAAAGGAACTCAATTTAACACGTGTAAATTGTCGTTATATTGCATAATTATACACTGATGGGAAAAAATTACTAAATATTAATACGTATTTTTTTTTTAATAGTACCAAGTAAACATTTACTTACAGTAAATAAACATTAACTCAATAAAAAATTATAGTTAAAATAAATTAAAACTAAAGATGTTCACAAACAGTGCGTGACTATTATTAATAGCACAATTGATTATATTTGCATGGTTAAAACAACTATAAGTAAAAAATTGTTCCAAAGAATGACTATAAATTATGGTAATTATAATCATTTTTTTCTTTCAGTGCATATTTTTAAAGGGCTTACCCTAGAACGGTAATAAATGCTTTATCTATCTCTTTCTTTCGACGCGATTAATATTTCAAGACGCGTTCTCCGGTGGCCGCGACATTAGCATACGATACGAGAGATCGATAGCGATTAGAAATAACTCCATTTCTGCCTGCCCTGCGGTCCTCGACGAGGACATTCGCGTCGCATTCACGGAAATTAATTCGGCGATTTGTAATAATAGAAAAAATTGAGGTCGTTGAGGAGGAGTCCTGTACGCCCCGCCAGCGCCGTTTCCTGGAGGTTCTCGTGACTCACTCGCTCGATCGCGGCGCAATTCTCGGCCCGCGTTCGTTCGCGTTGCGGGATCGCGGCGCGGCGCGCGCGATCCACAAATTTGTTTTCGCGCGCCAATCCCGCGACCGGAACCGAGCCGGGCGAACGGTTAAGCGATTCTTAAGCGGTTAAGTGACCGTAAAAAGGTACTGCGGAGGCGTCAAGTCGCGACGCGTCTCTTCGCGGATCGCACGATGATTCATCGCGCGCGCGCCGTCGTCCCCTGCTCGCAGCTCACAGCTCGCTTCGACGGCGCCACTTCCGGCTGCTGCTGCCGCTGCCGCCGCGACGACGACGACGACGACGACGCAGTTCTGCGGCTTGGTGCAGCGACCGAGATACGTTTCGTCTCGTGGAGATTCCGCGATAACGTAACGATTAGATCACGCACGTAGCCAAGAGCAATAATTTAATTTTATGCACACAAGGAAGTGAATTCCACGCGATCTAACATGTAATTATAATTCGTAATATTAGATCGACGAGAATACTAATTAAAAGAAATAATTAAGAATGAATTGACCAATTAATCGGATTTGTCTCAGATTTCAGAGCAACTTCTAGCATCGTGGACACAAGATTTTATGGCGGGATCTAATTTGGAAACACTTTTTAAAAATTGACATTTGTGGAATTACTTACTCAAATATGTATGACAATCTGTTTTTTTTTTTTTTTACAATAATTCTTCAGATGCAATAACAATTATTGGATTTAAAGAATTATTGTTAAAAAATACATTGGCATGAATATTTAAATAATTTCAAAAATGTGTCAATTTTTAGAAAGTGGCTCCTTGTGATACTTTTAGTATAGTTATAAAGAATAAAGGTTCGATATGATAAAATTTTTCAATATATTTTCTCTTCGAGCAAAATCACTTTTATTGATTTAATCTAATTACATCTAGCTCTGAGTGCATACAGATGATACTAAATTATTCATTTATTATCGAGCCAGATCTCTTTTCCCAAATCCAGAATCGTCAAATTAAATTATGACTCAATTAGTATATTTATTTCTATGCAAAGAATAACGTTTTAGTTGCATAAACAATGTTTAATTTTAAAATAATAATAATAATAATACAACAACATTCACATATGCAGAATTACAAATTGGAACTCTTAATAATAAGAGTATCGCCCTTCATAAGATAAATAGTTTCTCCTACTGTAGAACCGGGACTCTGAACCCGACGGACGAGAATTCTCACACCCTCTAGTGGTCCATTATCCTCCGTCTGCTGAGCCGCGCCAGTGGTCGCGGCCTCAACGAGCTAATTTTGCGAGCGCCGGCTCGTCGTTGTCTGGTCTTTCTCACCGCGGTGGCGGGGAGGGAAAAGCTCGCTCTCTCGCTGTGGTTGTTTCATCGCCATCGCGCATCACCGTGAAACAGTAGCCGAGAATGGGTTCGAGGAAGTCGACCGAGAAAACGAAAGGAGCGCGGCGGCAACAGGGAAAGAATCGGGGTAAGACGAGAGATGCGACTAAGAAAACCGCGAAGGGTGGGACGGTGAGAAAAGCGACAGGGTGAGTGAGATTTCAGGAGAGGGACGGGAACGTGAGAAGGCAAGAAAAGGGTCGTTACTTAACCGGGTCGAGAAAGGAGCGCTGTGACCTCAAAAAATTAGATAATTTCGATGTCACGTCCGCGAAGTAATTATCGCTCTGGAGTTCGACCTCGCCGGATGCAACTAGGGAATCAATTAAATGGACCAAAAGTTCAGTCGGCGCGAGTTCAAGCGACCTCGTCAAGCGCCTTTTGAAAGAGAGTCACCGAGATCTCGGATGGCAATCGCGATGAATCACAACGAGGTTCTTACTTATATTATTTAGCATCTTTGAATTCTGTGAGGCAACTTTTGTAACTTTTTCCCGACGAGCAAGAGTCTTTTGAGAGAAACTTAAATGTTATTTCTGAGAAAGATTATGACGTTATTCCGAGCGTTTTATTTACGTTTACGTGTTTTATTTCGTGTCCTTTTAAAAGTTATAACATTTCAAAATTTTAATAAACTATGAAAAATATAATTTTGCTCAAGTATCATCAAAAATTTAGCTAAATACAGGTTTGAAACTGATTTCATTGGTCTATCAAAATAATTACATAAGAATCTTAATCGTGATGAGTAAAATAAATCCATCAACAACCAGTTTGAGTCCTTTATAACTATTTTGATAGTACAAAATTATTTAAAAAATTTTTATTTTATGGACACATATATTATATTAATTTTCAACAAATATTTTTTGTGCCATTCATATTTAAAAAGATCATCGTCAGCATTTTATACGCAGCGTTTGTAATAAGAATAAGACGCCGAACGAGAGCGCAGAAAGACACATTTATAAATTTCTATCCGTAAAAGTTCCAAGAAGCAAGAACGCGCTTCCGGTAGTTACTCTTTATTCGCGCCGTATATGTGCGTTGTAATTGTCCCGCCGCTATTATACACGCAACGTTACGTAAGCGACCGTTTCTGAGCCGATGATGAGGCTTTAAGGAAGCCATTATGGCATTTTGTTTCCAGGCGAACGTGAGCCAGGCCGAGTACGAGAGAGCGCACAGAGAGTACCTGAAACAAGTGCAGCTGTCGCACGATGGACAGAAATTTAGAACGCGACGGGACCTCCATGTATTCCAGGCTGCTGGTAAGATCATCTTAACTCTCCTACCGTCTATAAACTAGAAGTCGGATTCGTAGCAACTTTCGCGGAAGCGAAGATTATTTATGCGACGCATATATTCCTATTTTCTACGAACTCACCCATTCTAGAATGAATAAATAATAATGAACGTAACGTTAATTTAACATATTATAAATGTTAATTTTATGAAGAAATTTGTTTCCAAATGTTATTTTTTGTGTTAATTTTTTCGTAATGTTTGTGTTATATACTTTTGAATGTATTCAGCTTGTATTGAATTAATACAAAAATTTGGATGGATTGTTCGAGATACGTATCCACTTGGGAAGCAGATGTTAATGTCGTTATTTTGGTGTCAAAATATTCTCATAAATGTCATTTTAACATCAGGAATGATAACGAATAATGAATGAATTAACTTGCTATTTGGGAACGTTTGTTGTAATAATAATAATTCTACAGTTGGAAAATTTGTGTTGTATTTACTTAATACATTTATTATATCCCATGGTTCACCCAAGTTTTTATGTTAATTTGTTACAAGATGAATATGTTAAAAAACAATAAATGTAACACTTTTGCACAACTTGGAAGCAAATTTTTGGAAGCATATTTTTTCAATAAAAATTAACATATATAATATATTAACATATTGTTTTTTAAAACTATATTATTATTTATGTTTGTTTATTTACTTACAAGTTATTTCAACACTAATTATAAGAAATGTTAAATATTAATTTTATACAAAATATTTAAATAACATTAATCACATTTATATTAAATTAATACTTGAGTATATAAAAAATTCAACACATAAAAATTTGACGAGGACCGGTTTTAACACAAGTCCACGGTTGTTTTTAACTGTGTTTTGTCGCTTATTTATTGAATAATTACTGCGATTATTTAATAAATCAAACAAATGTAAAAATACGCGATAAGAAATGATTCTCTAGCGACTGTAAATCACGAAGAATTGTTGCGAAGAATTGCGCGAGGATTGTTTTTTTACAATCGCATGATCTCTCCGAGATGTGTTTTATAAGAAAAAAACACTCGAATAGATATGCAATCGCTGATCTAATCCGATCCAATTTTAATTTTAGAATTAAATTATTCTCAGAGTCTTAGTTGGAATTCTGCTTCTTCCACGAATTAGGTCCGCGCTGAGATGCCGGTTGCGTACGAGCGAAAAACCTCCGCGCGCATATTCGCGGTACGTTTCCAACAAAAACAAATGCGGAAAACGGGGTTGCAGACGGCGGGGAGCGGGACAGTAGAGGAAGGTGTAACGATGCAGTTTTCCACCGCGGCCTGTCGATACGTCATCACGACTCGGCGGAGCGCATTCAAGTCTCGGCGCGGCGCGGCGTTTCGGTTTCACGATTCACGACGTCTCGGCCTCTCGACGATCGATCGTTCGAAGGATGGGCAATAAAAGTCGCGCCTCGAGAAAGAAAAACGGCCGTGCAGAAACGGGACATCTTGCCGTGATGCGAGAGCTGTAACGAGAGGCGCCACGGCGCGCCCGCCGATGTATTTACTTTTCCCGTGTCGACGAACTCGTTACGAGACATTTTTCCGCGAGCCTCGTCTCGTTTCGCATTCGTCGCGCCTGGTCGCGCCGTCGCGTTTGCGAAGAGGTACGATTTCGCGAAAGCGAGTAGAGTATTTCACGCAACACTCGACATCTTTAGACGTTCGAAATATGTCCTGATAAGTCCCGTTTATGTTAGATATATAAAATACGCCCCAAACCCAAGGAACACAAAAACTCGTAAAAGTCAATAAAAAATCAAAATCACTTAATTTTTATCCTTAACGTCAATAAATAGTCAAACTTTGTAGTAAAAAATCTTTTTTTTTTTTATGAGAAATTACAAATTAACAAAAAACTAATAAGTTTTTATAGACTCCTTAAATTAAAACAATTTAGAAAAAACATAAAATATACAGTACAGGCAATAGGAGTCAACGCTGGTTATCAATTAGCGCAATTCTTCTTAATACTAAAAATATAAACCTTGTCATGATTTTGACTTTGCTTTGATTTGATGTGTTCTTTGAGCTTGAGACGTACTTTAAATGTTTATTAAACAAAATAAGGTCATTTTAATTCGACTGTCTTTTGATTTGGTGTGTTCTTTAGGTGGTATTAATGATTGGGTTTGGGTGATACATTGTACGTACGACGTCTATACTGGTAGACATATTCTCAAGGAACACAAAAATCAACGAAAAATCAAAATGACTTTACCCAAACAGAACAAGTTTTTATGATATCAAAATGATGTCAAAATGACTCCAAAATGATCATTAAAAGTCATTTTCAATTATTTCCGATTCATTTTAATGTCATTTTAACGGTATCGTGACTTGTTGTTCTGTTTGGGGATATTCTGATTCTTAACGTCAATAAATAGTCAAATTTTGTAATAAAAAAATCATTATTTTAACTTGCATGACGAAAATATAGTCATTTTACTTTCTCTTGATTTAGTGTGTTTTTTTGGTACGTCCATGTATGGACGGTAGCATAAGAGTCTTACATAACGCATAATACATAAGAAAATGAAGCAAAGTCCTTCATTTTTTCTTTCTATGAAATAAAAAAAATTTTGATTGATTGATTTTCTTACGTTTTATGCATTATGCGTTATGCAAAGTTCTGTGCTCTAGCCTTACGGCGAAGGGGACATCGTTTGGACATCCATAAGGTATCGAATTGTTGCATGGAATTCGTAATCGATCGGAACGTAATCGATCAATCGCGCGCGCGCTCGCGCGACGGGGGATCCCTCGCGGCAGGAGGAAAAAGAAGCTTGCCGGAAGCGAGATCTAAAAGCGTGTTTCTTCAAGGATACTGGGAAAATATACGCGCGCTATTATTGGCCGTCCACCTAATTTCTCTCACGGCGCGCGGCTGAGAGGAAAAATACTTCGCCGACTTTGTAGACTTCGCGAAGAGCAAACGGTTATAATTTAATAATACGCTGAAAGGAACTGTCGCCGCGCGCGAGCCTGACGACGTCTCGCAATCGAGGTGGCCGATATGTGAGGATGTGTAACATTCAGAATGCCGTCAGACTGTCGACTTCGAAACCTAAACTGCCCAAATTGATAGCTGCAGAACGCAAGTCGTCATCGTGACATCAAAATGACGTCAAAATAGCTCCAAAAGGATTACCAGAAGCCATTTTTCAATCAGTAATCACAATGTAATGATTCATTTTGACGTCATCGTGTCTTGTTGTTTTGCTTGGAATAACAATAATGGGGCTTGGTAATACATTACGTTTGCAATCACATGCATTATTTATGTATTATTTCATTTTTATTTGCACGTGATTTATAAGTTATTCATTTGAGATCAATTTCATGATATAAGAGGTACATTTTAAAAACTATTAAAAAATTAAGAAATAGAGAAATCTTGTTTTCCAAGCTATTGATACACATAGAAAAATATTTTACTGTTAAGTTTACTTTTTTTCTTTGAATGATTACCTTTAATAAAAAGAATATTTTCTTGATAACAGTCCTAAAATATACTCCTTAATAATTAAAAACTCATTTAATCATCATGTACTCAAAAATTTATTTTCTTTCGAAGAACATTAAAAAATTGACTTTAAAGTTCAGTATGCCGATGAAAGGTTAAATATAACATTTTTTTTTCTGCGTAATAATAAATTATACATAATGATATCAATTATTTGGGACCAAGCAATTTCATGTGAATTATGTAAATTTATGATAAAAACTTAATAATAATCGTAGAAGCAAATTAATGATATGATGCGTGGTGAACAAGTAAATTAATCTTAAATTTCAATTTTAGGATTAATTTACTCGAGTTTTAGTTAAATTACTCTTGCGTCGTACTCTTCGATATGTTTATCATTTTAAAAAGTGATTGCTCAGTCAGTTGCTTCACCTTTGTGGAGAAATACTATCGAATTAGTGAAAAAATTGAAAAAAAAATTGGATCGAATAGTGTACAATTTTTTTTCCGTAAGGGCAATTATTTCGACCGTGCTAGATTCGCGAAATATGAGCTACGCGGGTCCGTCCGCGCGTTTCGTCGCGTCGACAAATTAAGACGTGAATCCCGCTAATGAATTCCACGAGCGGCGGCTCGTCGGCGCACGACTCCGCTCAATTACGGCCGCCCTGAAAATAGTGGGTCAAAGAGATAAAAGTCGGCACGCATCTGGTTGGAAACGGGACGGGACGGGACGGGACGGGACGGGACGGCCGACGACCACCGCGATGTGCGCGCGGTTTTACGCCGGGTGGTACGGCCCGCATAACACGTACCTACACGCACTCGAGTGGGCTCGAGTCCGTCCCAGTCGAGTCGAAACCAGTCTGAAGTAGGTACTTGTCTATACACCAGCTAGAGAGGTGCGCAAAGCAGAAAAAGAAGAAGAGCAGGAGGCGGAGGAGGAGGAGGAGGAGGGGAGGAATGGTCTCTCTTGATAGCTGGCCTCTCCCCGTCGTGTGTACACGGCTGTTATTATGAAAGATAAATTCCGACCGCGGCGGAATGCCGAACGACGAGTTCCCGAATGCAATAAGAACGAATCGCCGGGCAGAAACACACCGCAAGAAGTAGTTCCCACAAGAAGTAGTCTACCTTGCTTTATCTGTGAGACGTCGTTGCGAGGATATGCCGATACGCGAGAGAGATACATGAAGAAATGGACCCCCCTTCAGACCTTTTTCTATCCCATCGCTTCTATTCCTCTGACCTCTTAAACCACCGTTGCTTTAAGTTTATTTCAGTTACCCCCCGGGTACTTACTGCTATATTACTTTGGGGTGAAATAGAAAGATCTCTCCCTCAATGAAAAGATCTACTACTTGGCTTTTACTTTTGATTTGATACAACAGTTTTTTTCGAGGAGTACACTTAGCGCCTTTTTTTAAAACCTTCTTTTAAAAAGGTAATTTTAATTACATCCCGCTGAGTAAGGTAGAGCGGAACTGGTTGCGCA